TCCCGGAGCAGCCTGCCTGCACCCCAAACTCATCCCCAGCCCTGCCCCACCCCAGAGCCCTCACCCCCAGTCAGAGCTTTCACCCCCCCCACCACACCCTCAACCCTCTGCCCGAGCCCTGATCCCCTCCAGCACCCCAAACACCTCATCCCCAGTCTCAGCCAGAGCCCTCATCCCCCCACACCCTGACCCTCTGCCCGAGCCCTGAGCCCCTCCAACACCACAAACCTCCCATTCCCAGCCCCAGCCAGAGCCCTCACCCCCCACACTCCTACTCTCGTCCTGAGCCCCTCCCACACTCCAAATCCCTCATCTGCAGCCACAACCCACTGCCCTCACCCCTGCACCCCATCCCTCTGCACCCCTCCCATCCCCAAACTCCCTCCCAGAACCTGCACCCCAATCCCCTGCCCCAGCCTAGGACCTGCACCCCAGACCTCCTCCCTTACCCAGACTCCCTCCCAGAGCCTTGGGCGGGTGGGGGGCGGGGGCAGAGTTTGGGCGGGGGCGGGTTCTGGGCACCACCAAAATTTCTACAAACCTGCCACCCCTGATCCTGCCCTGCAAACCTCAACTCCCAGCATTCTCAGGACACATGCTGATCCCTAGTGGCCACTGCTGATATCCAGCACCTCCCTCCTCTCTTAACCTGTGAGTCCCTCTCTGGATTGGAACTGGACTGGAACCAAAGACCATCTTGGAAGCAACATTACCAGCCCAAGCAGTCAAAAATCATGAGTTGACTCCCCAAAATCACAGGCTCTATCACCACCACTTCATTCATTCTTCAGCGGCAATTCAGCGGCAGGCCCTTCCCTCCGAGAGGGACTGAGGGAAACGCCGCCAAATTGCCGCCAAAGAGCCAGCCCTGGGGGAGGGCACAATTTTAAATTCTTGCCTCCGGCGCAAAAATACCTAGTTACGGCTCTGGCGGGAGGTGTATGTGATGGCTGATTGTGGTTCCCATGTGCATGATGCCTGCATGTCATGTAGTTTCCTGCACTGAGGGGTTGCCCTCCCATGGGGTGAGGGGTCCAGAACTGGATCGGAGATGGAAGAACACCCTGATTCTTGCTGTGTGGCTAGAGCTCAGGTCCTGATGGTGGAGGCAGTGCCCATGGGAAGGGCCCAGCAGCGTTGGGACCTCTCCTGAGAAGAGGGGCTCGAGGAGGAATTAGGGGCAGTAGGCAAGGTCAGAGAGCAGCCAGGCAGTGAAAAGTCCTCCCTGCTGACCTGCGCTACGCCATGGCCCAGCACAACTCTGCGTGTGTCTATAGTGTCTGTATATACTGTGTACTTACTGCCCGGGACAGGGCCCTGTTCCTGGATATTTATACCCATTCCCTTCACCTGCAGTGCAAATAAAAGACTCTTTTTGCAGCCTGAGGGTTCAACTAATGGGAGCTGAGCCACACAGACGTGACCAGGGCATGTGAGCCACAACATGGGCTGAGCTGTGCAACAGGGCCTGGGCCAAACCATGAGGTGTGACAGGCAGAGGCAGCTGGAAGGCTGTGACTGGTGCATGGGCGCCAGGGTGTGTGGTGAGCTGGGAGGGAGTGGGGGGTGCAGGAGCCAGAAGAGCATCGGGGTCCACATGTGGTGAGCAGAGGAGGGTTGGGGTGTGTCACGGAGTCCCTGGGTGATGCTCTGGAACTGCTCCCCACAAAGCCAGTCAGGACTTTGGGGAGCCTCCTCTCCCTTGGAGCAGACTGTCTTCAGGGCAAGAAGCTCACACGTCTTCACCTCCTGGGTCTCTCCTGGGAGCATTCAGCATATGCCCCTCCGTGCGCTTCCCACAGCGAGTCCGCCCAGGCGGGGTCCTGGGGAAGCCAAAGCGTTCTGCACCCCCCACTTCGCAGTCAGACGTGACTCTCAGCCAGCCAGTAAAACAGAGGTTTATTAGATGACAGGAACACGGTCTAAAACAGAGCTTGTAGGTACAGCAGCGAACGGGACCCCTCGGCCGGGTCCATTATGGGGTTCAGAGAGCCAGACACCCACGTCTGCCCTCACTCCTAGTCCCCAGGTAGCTCCAACTCCCAAACCCCCTCCAGCCCCTCCTTCTCTTGGCTTTGTCTCTTTCCTGGGCCAGGAGGTCACCTGATCTCTTTGTTCACCTTAAGCTATTTCCTTGCAGGGGGGGAAGGGGCCCTGGCCATTTGTTGCCAGGGAGACAGAGTGTCAGTGATTTATGCACACTGGCCTTTCCCCACCACCTAGAGACTTAAGAAATGCATAGGGGAAACTGAGGCACCCACACAGTATTCAGAGGAAACATTAAGAACAGTCCCACTTCGTCACAGGGTGTTTGCCTGGGGTCACTGAGTGTGGGGGGGTCAGGGCCCTGTATCCCCCTCTTCCTGCAATTCACTGAGACTCTCAGCCAGCCAGTAAAACAGAAGGTTTATTAGATGACAGGAACACAGTTTAAAACAGAGCTTGTAGGTACAGAAAATGGGACCCCTCAGTCAGGTCCATCTTGGGGGGTGGGAAGCCCAGACCCAGATTCTGGGCCTCCCCCCTCCCCAGCCAGCTCCCAACTGAAACTCCCTCCAACAGTCTCACCCAGCCACACACCCCAGCTCCTCCTCCAGCCTTTGTCCAGTTTCCCAGGCAGAAGGTGTCACTTGGCCCCAACCCCCTCTGGGGCTCAGGTTACGAAGGGCAGTCACCATCGTTTACGTGCTGGCCATCAAGTATCATCGCTCAGTGAAGTCAGACCCTTATTTCCCATCACCATCTAGTATTAATGCAGACAGTAAACTAGTAAAACTCCCATGCAACATTACCAGGTTAATACTCCTTACTCCCTATTCCGTCACACCTGGCACCAGCGCTCACCCCCAGACCGCGCTGGGGGAGGTGAGGGCTGTGGGCTGCCCGGGCATTGTGTTCCCCAGTGGCCCTGCTGCCAAGGCCTGAGCTGTGGTCGCTCAGCAGCGTGTCTGTCTGTGTGGTTAGGAGCCTGACTCGGCCCCAAGTGTGAAGCCAGCTGTGACGCGCTGGGCGACACAACGCAGTTGGAAGGACAGGAGGCAGGGCAAGTGCAGGCCCTTGCCTGCTGGGCAAGCTCCCCTCCTGGGGCAATGGTGCAGAGGAAGGAGCTGCTCTGGTGCACAGGGGCTGCAGTGTGTGGTGGGGGTTCCCTAGGCGCCTCCCCAGCCTCTACCCTCAGTGACACCTTCTGCCAGAGCCCTGAGGGGTTAAGCCCGGCCCAGGCTGAGCAGGAAGGAGAAGTTGCCTGCAGCTCCTGTTCTGGCAGCAGTGATGCAGCTGCAGCACATGGACTCAGGAGCCTAGCACCATGGGGTGCCCAGAGTGCTGCTGGAGTTGGGCCTGTAGGCTGTTCCTACATCCCTGAGCACAGGCCAGGTCCGGGAGCAGCCATAGCCCCAGAAGGGCTGGGCTGAAACAGGCAAGACCCAAGACACCTGTGCTGTTTTGGCCTTCGGGGAAGGTCACGCTTCTTGCCATGGACTCTGAATGACTGGCCAACTTCCAGGCCTGTCGCCCACAGTGGGAGCTCGGTCTCCTCATAGCCCTGGCCGCCTGCTGGAGGTTGCAGGGGGAGCAGGAAGCTGCATCATGGGACAGCACTCGCCCTGCGGGGAGCCCTGGGGAAGGGAAAGGGCTGGGGGCTGATGCTGATGTTGGAAAGGGGCAGAGCGGGGGCCTTAGGGCCGCAGCAGGGAGATGGCGGTCATGGCAGGAGCCTCAGTGGATGCACTCCCATCTGGAACCCTGGGCACATCTGGGGGGTTGAGGGTCCTATCAGGAGCCCAGGGCCAGAGCTGAGAGGAGGGTCACAGCAAGGTTTGTGCTCCAGTACTGGGGGTGTTCAGGGCTGCAGTGGGTCACCGAGTTACTGGCATGGAGTTGAGGTCAAGGTGTGGGTGTGGGTCGGCCCTGGGGGATTCTCAGGGCTGAGCTGAGAGCACCCTGCGGTGAGGGAGGGATAGGCTCCCAGGGAGCAGCTCCCCCACCCACTATCCCAGGCTCACTCAGGGGAGGACACGTGCCAGCTGGGGGCTGTACACGAGACACACGAGGACACAGAAAACGGTGAGGGTAAAATCACTTTGCCTTTAGTTTAATGGACACGGCTGGGAGTGGGGCCCATGCTGCAGCAGAGACCTGTTCCAGGATCTCAGCCTCCTGTTTGCAAGGGAGCCTGGGTTGCCAATGCAGGGAGCCTGCCTGAGTCTGCAGCCAGCCTGAAACAACAGCTCCCAGTGGGAGGAACTGCCCCCTCATCTGAATGGGGGTGGATTCTGAAACCTAATGACAGCACAAACACGACCCCACTACCGAGCATTGCACCAGTGAATATTTTACCCCCATGATTCCAAACAGGCTGAACAGGGGCCAGCAGTCCCTCTGCCAAACTGGCCACGTTCCCCTGGCCACGTCTCAGCGCAGCTCCACACTGTCAATACAACAACATGGGAGCACATTGACATGTGACGGGGGGCAGCAGCCAGTGTGGGAGCTGAGTTCCAGATTCAGTAACCAGGGCCCATGTCTCCATGTGCACCCCTGACCCTGGCCACGTCTGGACGTCCAGGACGCTGCCGGTTTGCAGTGTGTGCCCCCAGAGGCCACGGGGACCCTGCTGCAGCTGGTGAGTCCAGCTCACTGGAGCATGCAGATACTGAGGGGCTGATGTGCATTAGGTACCGAGCCCCATAGGGTAGGGCAGCACCGCTTAAAGGGGAAGGAACTCAGCCAAGGACCCAGAGGGAGGCGGTGTCAGTGCTGCTCCTGGTCCCTGTCTCCCTCTCCTGAGATGGCACCCATGGCATGGCTGGAGGTGCCCTCTGTGCAGCTCGCCCAGAGCTGGGGCAGGGTGAGGTGCGGGTCCTGCGCCACAGAGGAAGCGCTGGGGGCAGAGCTGGGGAGCAAGCCATTTCCAAACGCTTGGTTGCCCCATGGGCAGTGGTGGGGGAAACACAAAGCAGCTTCCTAGTCCCCTCCCACTGCCTAAAGGCTCCCCTGGCCTAGGGCTGGCTCTGCTCACTGGACCTCTGGGGCAGGACTTGCTTCTCGGAGGCCCTGCCTGAGGAGGACTTGTTATGCCCCATCCGGCAACAGGGCCTGGCCCGGAGCCGGGCCCGGAAGTCCCGGGAGACGTAGAAGTAGATGAAGGGGTCGAGGCAGTTGTTGAAGGCGCTGACGGCCAGGGCCAGCACATACCAACTGTAGGTGAGGTTGTGCCACTCGGGCTGGGGCTGCAGGTAGTGGAAGAAGAGCAGCACGTTGCTGGGCATGAAGCACAGGGTGAAGACGAGCAGCACCAGGGCCAGGAGGCGTACCACGTGGCCATAGTGCCGCCCCTTGCGGAGCAGCCGCCGCAGCACCCAGCCGTAGGAGACGGTGATGAGCACGAAGGGCACGGCGAAGCCCAACACCACCAGCACAGGGAAGTAGTAGGCCAGCTCGCGCTCCGTGTCCGGCTCCAGGATGTCATGGCAGGTGGTGATGTTCAGCTCTGGGACGTGCTGGGAATGGCGGTAGCGCAGCAGTGGGCTCAAACCCAGCCCCACGGCCAGCCAGACACCCACACAGACTCCCGCCGCCTGCCAGACATGCCGGGAGCCCCTCCACAGGAAGGGGTGCACCAGCGAGATGTAGCGGTCCAGGCTGATGCAGGTGAGGAAGAGGATGGAGCCGTACATGTTCCCATAGAAGAGGGTGACCAGGGCACGGCATGCGTAGTCCCCAAGGAGCCAGTCGTTGCCCAGCAGATGGTAAGAGATCTTGAAGGGCAGCAGGAAGGTGAAGATCAGGTCAGCACCGGCCAGGTTGAGCAGGAAGAGGGTGGAGGCGCATTTCTTGGTCTTGGTGGCCAACACCCAGAAAGCCAGGGCATTGGCTGGCAGTCCGACCAGCAGCACCGTGGAGTAGAGTGTGGGGAGGAGCAGCGTGGTCACTGGGCTACGGAGGTAAGACTTCAGCCAGGAGCTGGAGAATGTGGCGTTCCTGCCGGCCTCCTCGCTGGCTGGGAGGCGGATCATGGCTCGGCCTTTGATTTGACTGGATGCTGCAGGGCCAAGAGAGAAGGGTTAGGGCGCTCCTACAGTCTGCAGGCCAGGAGCCTGGGCACAGCCTGCTGCCCCCCACGCCAGGCCTGCAGATCACCAATGCTCTGCCCAGCCCCTGCTTGGGGCACTGCGCAGGCAGGGGTAACTCAGACCCATGTGTATCCCCATTCCGCAGAAGGGGACCCAAGGCCACAGAAGGCAAGAGGCTCCCAAGGCCATGCAGCCAGGCAGAGGCAGAGGCAGGATAAGAACCCAGGAGTCCTGGGTCCGAGTCCTGTGTGTAAGCCACAGACCGGCCTTCCCATGACTGTAAGCAGCCACCAGAGGGCAGCGTTCTAGCACAACGCTGGGTCCCAGTAGACAAGGTGGGGGAGGGAACAGCTGATGGGGAGAGAGACAAGGTTTGAGCCACACACAGCTCTCCTTCAGGGCTGGGAAAGGTACCCGGAGCCAGAGGTGTTTGCAGGCCCCATCACCTGGCATGGGCCCTTGCAATACCCGTTTATGAGCTCTCCACCCTGTGTTCAGCTGTGACGCCCCGAGGCTACGTCTACAGTACACTCAAACC